CTGTGCACTGCACACTGCACACACACACACTGGCAATTCAATGGACTGTAAAAGCCTCAGCACAGCAAGGTGGGGGGCACCTTTGGCGCTTGACAGGTGAAGTGAATGCCAAGACTCTGGCTTGAAGGTTTGAACCAAAAACGCCTATGTGCGGGCAAGAACGCCTAAGTCCACCAAAAGGCACTTCTTCTCAAACAGGCAGTTATTTCTGCCCAATTCGAACTTGTAGGTATACATATATTTATTTATGGTATCGTAATACTCGTCACCAGCTGATCAGCACCAAGACCCCCGGAGCTACATGAAACCGCCTCCAGGTCACCCATGTGAACGAGTTGGATTTCGTCAGTTGGTTGCAGGCGGAGGGAGGGGGCATTGGCACATCATGGCACCCAGCAAAAAAAAAGTATAAGCTGCGAACGGGGCGCTCCGCGCTCCTGGCAGCGCTACGAACGTAACAATAAGCCGACCGAACGTAGCAAGGATCCGTGACTTCGAACCGATGTTTCTTCCCATGGGCTGCAGCTTGGACATGTTGGGACGATAGCCTTGTAGCCTTTTTGTTGGAGCGGCAGTCAGGTCGTCGTTGTCTGACATTTGCGCCCAACCCTTCACACACGTTTCGGCCCCCAACCCTTCGGTTTGCGATCCGAACGTCTTCGGTTGGACAGAGACGTTCCATGTCGTCGCAGGTCAAAGACTTCGTGCCAGAGTTCCGACGGAACTTGCGTGTCCGCGTGCTGAGACCGGTCCTTCAGGTGACCGGTCTTCCGATTGACATGGGTTCACCTGGGTTGATGGGGATATGAAGGTGGTGAAGTTGTCCCAGAAATGTTCAACAATTGGTCGCAAGTCGCAATCAAACACTTTGGTAGAATCAGAGTATAGGACTTAAGTGACTTCAGGAGAACCAAGGAGATATGGATGATATATGATGATATGATGTACCCTGCAGAGTGCAGATGTTCAGCCAGGAGACCAAAGTCTGCATGAACAAATGTGTTCATCACCTTTTATGCCAGTTCTTAGCTCACCCCCATCTCACCCCGAACCCCGGTGGTGCTCCCACCCTTCCCAGGAGAACGCGAAGCAGCTACGAAGCGACCGACGTCTACGTCACATTGCTCACGAGCACGAGCGGCCGCAGTCGGTCCGACACCGGCGAGTCTGGTTGTCCGGGCCACGCTACGAGGACAAACGGCTCATCGGAGCACCCTTGAACGTGGGCGACGCACTCCTGTACGACTCCAGGAGAGGACGGGGTTCACCGAGTCTGTGGAAGGAGCCTTCAGTCAAGGCGGAGCACCCGTCGGGGAGATGTACAGAACCTGTTTTGCAAATAATTAGCGCAAATATATTAATGTTCTATTCGTGAGCTTGCGTTACTCGTACCTTTCTGGTTCAACCGTGCCATGCACCACGATTCTGATGCGACCAGTCTTGTGTCTACCCGATCGTGGGTGTTCGGAAACATGGCCAGGACGGTGCATTGGGGTAGCAGCAACCGCGAGGAGGAGAGCAGGTACGTCCTTTACTTGAATTTCAAGAAGTTGCTTGGCACTTCACCAGTCAAAGGTGGACAAGAAAGGACGATCCAGAACACATGTCGAACCTTCCATGTTGTCCAAGCCAACTGTATGCGGGTTAGCTACTGTTGCATGAACGTACATACGCAGATTCTGAAATTTTGAATTCAGAGATGCTTCTGGGAAGGGGAATTGGCTCAACGTTTGCAGTCTGTCACAATATTGTGTTACGTCTGCAGTACTCCATTTGGTAATCAACGACATCAAAACCTTTTGCAAGAGGCGAAGTGCAATCACATCCTGCTGCTGTTGGATGCTTGACACGAAGAAACCCAAGCAGCACCTCCACCTTGACAATACCAAACAATACCCTATGTTATCCAACGTTCGGAACTGGGCAATATACAACCTGGATGACTATCATGTTCCGCCGCAAAGGCGGGCATGTTACACTTCCACATGTTCCGAGGGCTGAATGTGGAAAAACTGACGCAAACAAAACAGGGAGGCGCTTCGATGAACGAAAGCTGTCTTCATTGGTCTTGGACGTTCGAATCGAATTGCGACGATCAGCGGACCTCTTTGAGCAGGTCATGGCTGGACACGCTGACACCCGGTAAGGAGCTGCTGAAGATTATTGAACTCGTCCTCCCCCCAAAACTCCACCCAGCGGATCTACCAGCCAAGGCAACTTGGACGTTACACCATATTCACTTGCCTATCACCTACCCATCTCACTTGCTGATCAGCTACCCATCACCTACCTGAGGCGTGACTTCGTTGGTACTTCGCCAGATGAGCTGGCTATTAGCAGCGCAGACCAGCGTTGCCGGTGGTGGCGGCATCGCTTCCAGGAAAAGCCTCTTGGCTCAAGCAGTTGCCAACTCTGCTTGACTCTCTGCTTGTTGGGGTCGCCACATTTCTCTTTAAATATAAGTTGGAAAAATTGAAAGAAAACTATTAACTTTCAACTAGCCCTACTACATGGCACACTTTGTGGGCAACTAAGAGGCTCACGATTTTGCTGACTTTTAGTATGACAGGGAGGTCATTCCTCGTTGAGGGCTCCGGGCCAGGCCCATGTCTCTTGCAGACTGCCCTGAGAGGTTGGAGCGAGAGCTGCACTACATGGAGGATCCTCGCCGTCGTCGTTGAGACCGGAGCGGCGTTGAGACGCAAATGAGAAAATCCGACCAGCGGAGTTGGGGGAAGAACTGGGCGGGAGCTGCTTGCTCCGATGAGAGCAACCAGCTACAAGCGTAACCTGATACAGTGAACCCAGGTGTAAGTAACATCCCGAGAGAGCACAGAACATCCACACACTGGATGGAACCAAACCTCCTGCAGTTGCACGGAGTCATTTGCCTCTCTTCCGTGCGACCTTGACTGCGGGTTGACCAGCGCTCCGAGCTGAAAGAAATCACCCTTCTCAGTGGGCAGTGGGAGGACGTTTTTGGGGTTAGACCAAAGGAAATCATCGGACATGAGCAGAATGCAACAGATTCTCTGATGCAACAGAATGCAGCAGAATGCCGCAGCCATGTGAGCTTCGAAATCTCCAACCAGTTTGGTCCACGATTCCACGATCACCACTCGAGGGCAAGAGCCTGCCGAGATCAGTTGTTTTGTAGAAGTTCCGATCAGACAGAGAACCTCTCACATGTGAAGCATCGGAGGTATATACCTTGAAGCGTTCACATTGCATCTTATTGCCACCACTTGGAAAGCGGACAGAATACATCCCGACGAGGACAAGTGTGATCCCCTTCAACAAGGTTCTTTCAACGATATTTGGGGGGTTGCCAATTCAGGCGGATTTCCACCCTATCTTTGGCTCCCCAAATAGGTTTGTCAGGTCGTTGTCGCTTCCCGATTGCGAGTCGTTGAGGCTGGGTCACAAGACCCAAGCCCTCGAACCTTAAACTGACCAATCCATGATCAGTGCCCCCCCCCCCCAAAGGCCAAGCCAATCAAGGACTCCCTTTCTTACGTCCCGTAGACTCTATATACACACCCTCCCTATGGGGGTATAGCCATCACTGGTCCGACCAACGGTGGCGACCGCCCCGCGCTTGGTGCCTCCGAGGCTCCGTGGTGCCCTTGGGGCCGATCCCAGCGGTGGCGCCCCGAGGAGTCGGACCCAGGGCCAGTCGGTGCCCTTCGGGGGACAACGAGAGGCGGAGCGCGCTGAGGCTTCACCGGTGCGTAAGTTTGTTATGATGTTATGTAATATGCATGTGTGTGTTTGATGGGTGGTAGAAGTGGATGTGGAGGAACATAGCACGAAGTCCTGCAGGGTTTGGCGTGGCTTTCTAGACTTCGTCGCTCGCTAGCTTGGCCCAAGTCAAGCTTGTAGTAGAACCGGATCAGAACATGCAATTAAGAATAAGTTCCGGTCAAACCTTTTCAGCACCAAACATGAAGAAGGTACAGCCTAGAGAGAGAGAGAGGGATAGAAAGAGACATAGAGTGACAAGAATTGCTTACCAGGGCTTATCATGCATTTGCACAGGCCGCAAGTCACAGACTCTCGATATACGAAACTCGGAGTTTTTCGTGTGCAAACCTGGGTGCTCATGAATCCACCGGTCGAGCCCTGCGAGGCTGTTCTTTCGGTCGAGGCAGGTTCTTTCGGGACTCGGTCGACTGTATCTGACAGCGGTGGTGCCATGTCGGCATGGCAATCAGTGCATGTGCTTCTCCAGTGTGTCCTTGCTGTGGGGACGCCCCACGTCGCCCAGGTACCTCGCCCGCAGGGCCCGTATCCTCCCCATCCCCCTTTTCGATCAAAGCAACCCCCCTTTTTCACACTCTTGGGCAAGACAGTGTTCAAGCTGTATGCCTACCAATAGGAGCAGATAAAGTCTTGGCAGTGCGTTTGAAAATCAGAGGGCACTATTTCTTCGTTTCTTGGGTCCATTGCTTCATCATCCTGAACTCTCAATGTCAGTTTTGGACATTGTGAACCTGACTGTCCAATATTCTCGCCACTGACTTCGCTGAACACGTCCAGGATTCTCAACATTGGATGAGAGAGGCACGTGAAAAGCTCCAGGGTCCACACAACGCCTCCATTGGATGCGGCAGCGCTACTGGTTTCAGTGCATGGGGTGGCAGCCAGGATCCCAACGAGGTTGCGAGGGAGGGCGGCCGGGATGGAGTGAGTGTCAGTGGTCGAAACATGGTCATATTTTATGTATTTTTATGTCAATTGTACACATAGTGGATCACACATAGATGGCATACGGTCAACACCTATTAAAAGACCATCTAAGACGCATAAGATATGTAAGACTTAGACCATTGCCTCCAACCTAATTAGACGATTGGCCCAACAAAAACCTATAGGAGGCGATCGCACCCGAGTAACGCCCGACCGGTGCCGTGTGGCGGTTCCGTTCGTGGACGACACATCGGTCCAAGGGATGGGAGGGGACCGACACGCCTCAGGGCTTTGAAGGGTGGGTCTATTTGATGGTTATGGACTACAAGTTGGTCAACCGCTCTTTCTACCTTCAAGTTCCTCAAGACCTGGGACAACGTGCGGCGCCGGTGCTCATTGGCTTGCATGCGCAGGGCTTTCAAGCTGACAGCTCCTGGGGAAGCAGATGTATAGCAGTTGAAGTGGATAGTTCAAGTTGTTTACGTTAGATAGATAAATCATGATAAATAAATGGACAAGTTGTGGTTGTTTGCTCTAGCAATTTTGGAAGTTACAACGTTTTGTAATCAGACGCAGGTTGTTTTTGAGAAAACCTAACCCTATGAACACATGTCATAGGTAACACGCTGGTGGCAGCAATGGAAGGCAGCGAAACGAGAAACTTCTCTCTATACGACATATGCATATACATATGCACATACATACATACATGCATGCATACGTACATACATACATACATAGACATACATACATAGACATACATACATAGA